AAAACTTCAGCCTATCTCAGAAAATTTAAGGTAATATTTCATATATTTCATAAGGACCCATACATTTAATACAGAAATGTCAGCCTACTCCAAAAGTATGTTCATATATGCACTCAATATTCGGTTCGGCTCCTTTTGCCATGAATTATCCATCAAGTTGCAGGCGTAGGGCATTGGAGGCAATCAAGCCTGTTGGCACGGGCGATGTTGTTCATGGATGTCAAAGCGTTGCTCTTTGATTTTTAGTGGCCTTCACGGTCATCTGCATTGCTTGGGGCTGGTAGATCATCTCATCTTCCTCTTGGACAATATGCCATAGGATGTCGTCTAGATGGGGGTTCACGGTCAGGGCGAGGGTTTTGCTGGGGGGCCCAATTCAATACAAATCAATCAAAACCATGGTCACGTTGGAACCAGTGCCTATTGGCTACTTTTTAGGCAGTGGGTGGGCAGGTGGCCCAAGTCCTGCTTGGAAAATGGAAATCAGCATCAGTCCATAAAGCTTTTTCAGCAAAAGAAAGCATGAAGATGGGCTCTGAAGTGGAGCTCTAAAATGTTCCCTGCAAGAACATGGCTGTTGGTTGCAATTTTGGGACTTGATAAAACACAGGTGACAACACCCAACAGGATGACATGGCTCCCCAAATCATCACTGACTGGTGGAAACTTTACACTGAACTAAAAGCAACTTGGATTTCTGCTTGCATTTCCACTCCTTTCTCCATTTACTTTGGGAGGGGAAGACCTTGGATCTTCCCTAAATGAATGCAAACTTCACCCTTTCATCTGAAAAGGGGACTCTGGACCACTGGGGGAGCAACAGGTCCAGTTCCTTTTATCTCCTTAGCCCAGTCGTAAGGGACGCTTCTGACAGTTGTACCCCATGTCCTGGGATACGTCTGTGGTGTTTTGGGTGACTCTTGATTTGCGCTGACTCCAGCTCAGTCCACCCTTGGAATGGTCCCCCAAATGGGGTGTTTGCTTCCAATCCTCTCAAGGGGGCTGCGGGTCTCATTCCCTTGCTGGGCTTTGTGCCACCTTTTCCTACCATACTTTTTCCCTGCCACTCAACTTTCTATGACTATGCTTGGATATTCAGCTTCTTTAGCAATGCACCTCTTTGTGGCTTTCCCTCCTTGTGCGGAGGGGGTTGGTTGGATGACTGGGTCTTCTGGACAACTGTCAAGGCCCAGCAGGTTCCCCATGATTGGGTGACTTGCCTACTGAACCAGACCATTTGGCCGATTGAAAACCATTTAAAGGCTCAGCGAAACCTTGCAGGAATGTTTTGAGTTAATTAACTGGCATTAGAGTGGAGACATCGGTGCAGTCATACAATAGTTTGAACTATTACTAATATTCAAAATTTTTCTGAGAAACTGACATTTTTAGTCTTTGCTAAGCTGCTAAGGGCCATAATCATCAAAATTAAAAGAAAAAAAAGGGGCTTGAAATATTTCAATTCTGCTGCTTGGTAATGCAGTCGGTAAGAAGCCAAGGGCATGATCTTTTTAAAAATGGGTTTTGTTAGCTGTAAGCCATAATCATCAAAATTAAAAGAAATAAAGGCTTGAAATATTTCACTCTGTGTGTAATGAATCTATATGATATATGAGTTTCACTTTTTGAATTGAATTACTGAAATAAATGAACTTTGTCATGATATTCTAATTTATTGAGATGCACCTGTATAAACTGCCTCCATGTAGAAAGATATAAAAATGTACCTTGGAGCGAGGTAGGGCTCTCCAGGGGTGGACGGGTCCACTGGAGGTACGTGAGTGGTCACAACTGAGGGATCAGTCTGAGTCAGCTCCTCACCCTCCATAGACCTCATGTTGGTTATACTGCTCCCCACCACTGCATCAATGCTATCTCTGCTCATGTTGGCTGGACCTGAAGAGTCACACACATCAGTTACTGCCACTGGCCTCCTTTTCTTCAAACTAACGAGTAGAGTGCTGCAGGGATGATGTATTTTTATAGTCCAACGCAGAATCATCACAAAAAAACAGTGAATTTGTGGGAGGAGGAATCGGGTAAACTTGTGTTCTCTCCAAGTTTGATGTTAGCAGATGACAGTTATATTAAGTTGATGTGTTAGCTTGCAGTTTATTTCTCTCCAGCCTGTCTGTGTGTTGTTTGCTTACAGCCACTTCCAGATCTGTTTTCTGACTCTGTGCCTGAGAAACATGAGAATGAAATACATGTATTATGTTTGATAACTGCCAATGGAGTTTATAAACGGCAGCTCAGAAAAGATAACTGTGTTACGTCAACGGTTCATATGCACAAGCAGACCAGTCCAGACAATATATGCGTGTGATGAAGTTTTCTACGACCCCAAAAGTAAGTTTTTC